ATATGACCCGTGACACACATCCTCTGCACACACTACCCATGCCACATGCCCCGTGCCACATGGTCTCTGTGCATACACAACCCATGCCACACGGCCTCTGTGCACACACGACCCGTGCCACACGGCCTCTGTGCACACACGACCCGTGCCACACGCCTCTGTGCACACACGACTCGTGCCACATGCCTCTGTGCACATGTGACCCATGTCACTTGCCCTCTGCACACACTACCCATGCCACATGCCCCGTGCCACATGGCCTCTGTGCACACACGACCCGTGCCACACGGCCTCTGTGCACACACGACCCGTGCCACACGCCTCTGTGCACACACGACCCGTGCCAGACGGCCTCTGTGCACACACGAACCGTGCCACACGGCCTCTGTGCACACACAGCCCATGCCACACGCCTCTGTGCACACACGACTCGTGCCACATGCCTCTGTGCACATGTGACCCATGTCACTTGCCCTCTGTGCACACGTGATCTGTGCCACACATCTGTGGCACACCTCAAGCAGACCCCACGGTGACCCACTGAGCCCCTCCCTGTCTCAGCACCAGAGCGCCAAAAGTGAAGATTCCAGGTGGGCAAACACCCTGGTTTATCCACTAATAAGAATGAGGAGCTCAAATAGGGCTGAAGGTCTGAAAAAGACTCCTTTAAATTTCCTGATTAATCCCATAGGTACATGAAAACACATGTTAAATAAAAGGAGGTAAGTTAATTGAGCTAGTCCCATCCACTACGTTAGGTAGTGCTGAGGATTTGAACAGACAGTGCATGTGATGTGCTTAGATGGAGTAAAGAATGGTGCACAAGTCCAGAGTCACCTGTGCGGACGCTCAGGCACCTGCCAGCACTTGGAAGGGCTCCCTGGCCATCTGAACCTTGTCTGGAGAGGGAGAGAGGGAGGGATTCATCCTCATCTCAGGGAAGAAAAGTGAGCAGAGTCTGGGTGTGAAACCCACACAGGCCTGCGTGTGAAACCCACAACTGCAGTGGTGCAGAGCTGTCTCAGGGCACAGCACAGTGGATGTCAGAGGGGGAGAGAGAGACATACTCATCCTCTGCAGATTAGCCTGGGCCCAAGCCCCACCCACCAGGATGGCCTTTTATTCTGTCTGCCCGTGAGTGCTGGGCAAGGGCTATGGGCTCAGACTGTTCTCCAGCAGATTCCTTCACTTACATAAGAGAAGGGAAGACTATTCTCACACAGAATATTCTTGATCTGAGGCTACAAGCAGAACCCGCAGGCTTGGGGGTCTAGGTTTCTGGGGACAGGACACAGGTATTTAATCCAGAAACATGCCCATCTTCTGATTCAGGAAACTTCTCTGGGTCCCAGCTACACTGTTCATCAGCTGCAGAGACCTGGAAGGATGCTTCACACCCCAACCCTGCCTTCTGAGTTTATAAACACACAATCATGCCAACCTCACAGGATGCTAGAAAGGGCAGATGAGGGTCCGTAAGGGTCCTACAGCGGGACACTGCACTCAGTAAGCAACTATTCAATAAATAGTAGCTGTCGAGTGCTTGTGTTAGGGTGGGGCCCATAAACACAGCAGCATTTCCAAGTTCTAAGTAAGTGGGAGCTATGAAGATAATGGAAGCAGATGAATTCAGAGCTGGGGTGGAGTCTTAAAGACCATCCAAACTGTGCCCTTCTCTTAAATGTGAAAGAGTGATATGTGTTGCAATGGAAGAAAACCAAGAAAAAAAGTCCCTTTAATTTTGTCAAATTTTCAAGATAACTCTTACAAAATTACTTAAGGGAAAACTAGAAGGTTTACAAGAACCAGAAAGACTGTTTTAAGGCCACTGACCATGAAAAACAAGCATCATCTTTCAAAGCCCATGGAAAAGATGTTTCCCTAATTATTGGTCTCACCTAGCAAAGGACCCTCACCTGCTGGCCAGCTGCAGCAGAATCAAGCCTTGTCGCATCTCACCGAATGACTCGGTGTTGGCTACAACTGTCTATTTAGCTGGAAAAGAAGAGAGAGGGATCCAGGGAGGGAGGAGAGAGGATGGAATCAGGGATCAGCCTCTTCCCATTCCTTCCTCACATCCCAAAGGCAGTCATCACACTGCAAGGTCTGCTAAAAGCTTGAAGATGTTTCTGCTTCCAATAAAGCACATACTTTCCTCTTTTGAGTTACCCATAAAATGTAACTTTAACTTTCTACTTTTTCTAGTTTGCAGAAATGGCCATTTTTCTCATATCAGACTTGTTTTTCTCTGTACCTGGTTCTCAAGGAAGCCTGAGCTTTACCTACACATCCAATACCTACCTGTCTGTACCATCTCGTGTTCAATTGCAACCCTAAATTCTAAAGTGCTCAGAGCCGATATAACATGCTGACTTTCCACAGCCCTGCACTGGGCCGTTTCAGTGCATCAACCTGAAAGATAAATAGTCTTACTTTGCTGTCACTGAGAGAATGAGGAGACTGGTCTAAATTTCCACTAAGGTATCCAGAGAACATTCCCACAAAGGGACCGGGAAGGGGGTCCGGCGAGAGCAGGGAAGGTGTGCGCTGGCACCACACACGGCACATGTAACACACACAGCAGTGCAGGGATGTGGGGTTTGCCGGGACACCTGTAGGCAGTGAAGTGTGTCTTAACCAGGAAATGCTCTTCTTTTCCTCCCCAGAGTGAAGGGTTAGACAGAAGTCACTTCCAGGAGCAGTAAGGTGGCCCGCGGGGTACAGTCAGGATGCATGAAGAAGGGACGTGTATTTTTAAGGCAGCAGGAATAAACTTCATTGTCCTTCCTAGAGGACAGCAGGAATTATCCAAGGTGGCCACCACGTCTGGAAACCAGACAAATCTTGTTACACATGGCTTCTTGCTATCCATTATAACAAATGACAAAATACTAGTATCTATTCTAGACTCTGTGGCCACCCCATAGAATACATCTTTGGAACAGAAAAAAAAAAAAAATGAAGATTTTGTTCCCCGTAATTGTAAAGCCAGCATACCCAGTCTGGCACAGTTGGTGCGACATTGTACCCAACCGCACAGGCTCCGTTCCCCATGACAATGTTTGATACACTTGGGTCACGTACAGGAGAAACACACTGTCAGCATCGGTAGCAGCATTTTCACAGATCATGTTGTTGTCTTAAATAATAAGCCTAACTCCTCTGTCAGTCCAGTCATCCCAGATGGCCTCACTACTTCTACGCATAAGATATGATCTTCCAACATTTGTGTAGATACATAATTCCCTTTTTCTGAGGGTTCCCAAAAGACTTTAGGTGGGCTCCCAAAAGACTTTAAGGGGTTTGATTTTTTTTTATAATAAAAGAAAGAAGCAGTGTCCATCTCTGAGAGTCAGACCCCTGCCCAGCTCACTCCCTAGCCCATGAAGAGATTCCATGCAGCCCTTCACTCTTCAGCTCGCAGAAGGTCATTCAAGGGATAACTGCAATGATCTGTACTATTTAATAGCCCAGGAAGAGAGAAAACAGATGCAAAAATACATAATCTTGAAAACACTACAGCCAAATCCTCTCATCCCAGGATTTCTGAAAAGGAGATTGTATGTGAAGCATGGGCATGGGGTGGCAGCCACTCCTGCCAGGCCAGGGAGCCATGGACACAGCCACTCAGGACCAGGAGACAGCTGTGAGAGGGACCGACTTCAACTTCATCTTCCCAGCAGGGCACACTCCGGAGAAATCCTGGACAGGGCCCTGGTCATTCTGAGGCTTACTGGTCCTATGGTTCAACCATTTTTAGAGGGATAGGGAAATCCAGAGACACCAGCCACTATCACGAGTAAGAGGAGTTCTGCAGTGACAACACGACCACGTAGTCAGTGAGAAAGCAAGTTATAGGCCACTGGAAATCCACCTGGCACACGCATGTAAGGGGCCTGAGCCGGACACAGACACACCTCACACTTAGGGAGGTGGCCATTCCTTTGAAAGTCAGGGAGTCTCTTCACAAATTCCTTCTATTCATTAGTTTTCAAATCAGTTCATCATTTAAACTAAAAAAGATGCTGCAAGTTATTTTGGCTAGCTTCTAATCTGGACACAGCACCAGTACTAAACACATAACTGAAAGGATGACCACAGCTCCCTGATTCTTCCGCTGGGCAGGGTCAGTATGCTTCTTTGGACTGAATAGGTGTGATCTTGTTCGAGAAAAGCGTGTAAACATAGGGCCAGATTTTGTTAGTCTCCGTCCCAGAAAATTGGTGGAGCACTCCTCGGCTCCTGAAAAACAAAGGCCAACATGAAAAGGCGTTTTAGGTTCCTTTAAACACACAAGGACAGGAAGACCCTAACACGAGCAGCACAAACTCCGTCCTTAGCACACGTCACTAAGTGCCAGGACGGCCCTTTTCAGACAGATAGATACTTCCTGGGCAGGGCCCTACCCAGGATGCAGGGTCTGCAGTCTGCTGTGCTCCTGATGCCAGCTTTTTTCCCCTCCCCTTTAAAACATACTAAAGAATGACATAAGAGCGAAACAAAATGTGCTTTTCAAAATTAAATCATTAAAAAGCTTTGATATGGTGAAACCCTTACTCCTTAGAACAAGCAGCTGTGGGACACAAGACTTTTTTTTT